GTTACGTTGCCCCCCAACCTGTGTGTCCACGTCCGCCTTTATCCTCTGTACCTTCTTTTTGTTTTTGCGTTTGGGGGAGGAATATGTCCTATAATTTGAAAGCATTATTTGCAAGAACACACTAACATTGATTATTTTAAGGTAGCATTGATTACTCGGCAGATGTTATAGAACACATCAAAGCTCTTTCAGTACCACCACATATGTTACCTAACCTTTAGCTTAGTTTCTCCTTTCTCATTAGAACCACAACTTGAATCACTAGCTAACCAAACTAGTTCACGTAGTTGGGTCTGCGAAATTATCTGAACCCTGCAATGCACTTTTTGGACTTAACTGCTAATTTTTGTTGTCTTATAATGGTGAGTTTTTTTGTTCCTAGGAAGGAATGCCCAAGGTGTAGTATTGGCAATGGGCTTGTGTTTAGTCATAAACTCCCTATAACCCTGACCAGTTACCGGTCTAAGAACAGGAGCTGTTTGTCAATGAACTCTTAAAAGCTTTAGCGTTCATTTTGAAATTCTCAAGGAAGAGCTTGCTTGCCCTGTTTGTACAATGACCAATGATGGATCATCCACTTCTTCATTTAGTGAACTCCCACGACAAACCGTGTCTGGAATTTTATTTAAGTCTAATTCCCTTCATGAAATCCATATATGAAAGAAATATTGTTCTTTTTTTTCTGCTTCTGCCTCTATCACGTTTTGTATGTGATATGTTGCAACACGCATCACATATCTTGATTTTCTTACCAGATTTGGGGAGACCTTTCAGTATGCATTTTTTTGTCCCTCAAGCATCTTTTTAAGGGAATATTAATATTGCTTACCATCTATACCATACGATAAGGTGAAAAACATATGCCTTATCGAATTTCTGATGATGCTGGAAGAGCTAGAGCATTAACATTTCACCAATTTGGGTTGGCTTTCTTAGATTTTTTTTTAAAAAAGGAAAAGTTTAAATCTGTAATTGGATCGGGGTTTTTGTACATTCTTAAATCTTATTCATGGCTTCGAAACCTGAATAATTCTTTGTTTATTACCTCATTTCTTTAGTTTCTAGATGCTGGCAATCATGCTATGTTATTTGGGCATGTGGAACTCAGTGTTATTTAAAGCAAAAAGCACAAAAAAACTCTCAAAGTGCAAATAAAGCGTGAGATAATGAAAAAGGTCGCGAAGTGAGAAAAAAATTCAAATATATATGATTAGTTCAAGACTAATAATTATAAGCATGAAAGGCAGATATATGAACAAAAAAAATTAAAGACAATTCATGTAAAGTAAAGTATCGATTGTTAAGTGTCGCCTCTTCACAAGAGGCTTATTGACCAGGAAGAGTATGTCTTAGAACCTTGATGAAGATACTGAAGTGCATATTTAAGCGAGGCAAAGCACCTCAACACGTTTTGTGCCTCGCTTGGTGAAACTTTAATTAGAATGTTGCTTTGGGCATTAAAACATGTTTTTCTTTCTTTATATAGTTTTCTGCTTAATGTTATTAACAAATTTGTGTGAGACCTGGCACAGGTATATAAGAAAGTTTCAGTTCGTAATCTTGCATTTTTCATTCAGTGCTTGTTCTAGGAAATCATTTGAGTTTCATATGGGTCTATTCCCTTGTTGCTGTTTGCTGTTTAAATTATAATGAAATCATCCTTTCTCTGAAGCAGCCATCTGAATGTAATACGTACGCGGACATTGATGCAGTATATAAATGCCTAAAGGAGCAATATGGGGTCAAAGATGAACAGCTAATACTCTATGGTCAATCTGTTGGCAGTGGCCCAACTGTTGATCTTGCATCACGAGTACCCAATTTACGAGGTGTTGTTTTACATAGTCCAATATTGTCTGGTGTAAGAGTTTTGTACCCTGTCAAGCGGACATATTGGTTTGACATATACAAGGTAAAACACTCTCAGTGGTTATCAGTACGTAATTCTTTTTCCATCTCCACTTATAAAATCTGATTTCATTTCTCCAATTTATTTCAGAATATTGACAAGATTAGTGCAGTGAATTGTCCGGTTCTGGTCATTCATGTAAGTTTCCCTTCTTTTCCAATGTTTAATCCTTCTATTCCATAATTTCCAATCTCTTTCAAATTCAATCTATTTACAAATACCTCGCAGTGGAGATGGGTCCGGGAAAGATGGTGGGGCAACTGTTCTGTTACTGGTTAATATAATAACTGTAGATCCTTTACGTGTTTGTACCTCCCAACGATTCTAATTCTTTACCGGTTAATAAATTACTTTAGACCCTTTTGGCCTTGTAGCTCCCAAAGGTTCTGTTTTTGAACATTTTACTCAAAGGATTTTAACACATGTATAGGGAACAGCGGATGAAGTTGTTGACTACTCCCACGGGAAACAGCTGTGGGAGCTATGTAAAGAAAAATATGAACCTTTATGGTTAAATGGAGGTGGACACTGCAATCTTGAACTTTACCCAGAGTATATCAAACATCTAAAGAAGTTTGTTCTTGGTCTTGGCAAACCGAAGCCTGCTGCTAATGGCCCCCAGAATGCATCAACAGAGTCTGAAAATCAGAGTAAACCTGCCGAAAGTGGTGCCACCGACACATTTGACCTGAAACCTGATCTTCCTGAAATTTCAAGGAACAGTTTGGATAGTCGACTTGAAAAGACTAAGAAGTCAAACAAACCTGAGAAGTCGCGGATGAGCACAGATCGTGTTGACAGGTTTAGGAGAAGAAAGGGCTTAGTGTGGTGATTCCTAAAATACAGAGGGAAACCACCTTTAATTAATCACCAGTGACCCGCCTAAGAAGTTAACATGTGCCTGTTTATGCAAACAAGGGATGAGCTCTAACTGCAGTTCCTGTGAGTGTAATTGTAGGTGTAAATGGTTGAGTTATCTGTGCCATCAAGATATAAAGTGGTGACGGAGAAATAAAGTAAGTAGTGCATCCCTTTTTCCCCTGTATAATCAAATGTAACATTTTGACATGAAAAGCTTGTAGTTTTATACTCATATGAGCTTCCATACTTGTATATTATGCAAGATGTGCAACTTTAGTGGCAGAAGCTCTTGGAGTATCATCACCTGTGTGTAACTGTTTGCTAAGGAAATTTGTTCCATATTTTCATAACAAAATCTCTTTTTCAATTCTCTCAGTAATAGATGTCTTTTTAGTTACTGTTGTTGGAGTAGTCCCAAGATTAGCAGTGCCTAATTTTTCTTTCTTTTCGTCTTTAGCTGTATGATATTGAGGTCGGAAATTGCTCAAGGTATTTAACTACCCCATTAGTGTCACATTTCCGTCATCTCTCAGGACTCTTCCATGTCATCAACTTAAGTAAAATACTGGTGAGCATTGCTCAAGGTATTTAACTTGTGTTCCTGTACCTCCTTCTAAGAGTTGGTAATTGATTAAGTTACCAACTATAAGTATTTTAGCTCCCAGCTTTCCTGGTAGTTCTATTTTGCTTCCATTTCTTTTCGTGGAAGTTATCTGAAGTTTACTTATATAGTTGAAACAGAATAAAGCGTGTGAAAGTAGTTGATTTTGTTCCACATATCATTATTGCCAGTAGTCTAATCAATGACAATCATACAAGGAGAGAGGTGGAGATGGTGATGGTTCACCGCGCGTTGGAAACTTTGGAACAAGTTATAGAGAAATCAACATACGTTTTTTTCTCTTTTGGTGTTCTACATTTTTTGAATGAGTCATATTGACTAATAAGCTAGAGAGAAAATGACAATTTAGGACCTCTTTAGTTTTTGGTACAGCTTAATTTTACTGTCAAGAAAATATTTCTTTAGCAATCTTTTTTATGGTTTTGGTTGTTTGAATTTAACAGTTTTAACTTAATCTAATAAATCTTCACTCAGTCTTAGGGATCTGGTCCAGTGACAAAGAGTGTGTGATATCATCATATATTATTAATCATCATCATCATCATTATTTTATTTTATTATAATTAAAAGTCGGAAGCTCCCATCTTCAAAGTTGAATTACCATTTAGCCCTTACAACAAATTAAAAAGTAATTAATTAAATGATATTATTGAAACATTTTCTGTCAATTAATTTGAAAGTTGAAAAGACTTTAATTAGGAAATTTGAAAGGGTGCATGAAAAATGAAAAGACTATAATCAGTTATGTACAGAATTTAAAGGGTTACATCACGCTTATATCCTTCATTGTATAGAATTCAAATGGTTACATCAGAACCACGACACACATACACTCATATTCATCATTTGGATTGTCACAAAGAGGATTTTCCAGGCTAGATGGAATCCAAAGAATGAAACCATCTTAGCTTCTTGGACAAACATGCTTGTTGCCTTGGTAGGAGAATCACAGTATGGGGTCGATGAAGAACAAACTCCAGAAAATGCAGGAGATGGACCACCAGAGTTGCTATTTATTCATGGTTGCCATACAAGCAAAATTTTAGACTTGGGTCGCCGTTAGCGTTGCTGATCGAGGATAATATATTATTACAAATCTGGCATATGGCTGAAAACATCTATCATGACCTGTCTGGAGATAATTCCCCCAAAGGTCCCTAGGATACTAATATATCCCTTAGGAGGGTACTGTAACAACTTGTTTTTTCTCTTTAACATTTTCATCTATGTATTTAGGCAACAAAAGATTGAGCCAAATTTTGTTTTTATTTAATGTGGTTTTATCTTTATAAATATATATAGATTTTAATTATGTATAATTTTATTTTTTGTTGCATTTTTAGGTACTTTCTTCTGTTTGTTTCATTTGAGTATGACTTGGTTTACTTTTCTAAATTGGGAGTAATGTTCAAATGTTTTTACTCCCAATTTAGAAAAGTAAACCAAGTCATACTCCCAAGAGTTGATGCTTGACTTTTATTTTTACAACTTTGATAAGGAAAATAGACAATATTACTCCGGTCAACTGTCAAGTCTGAAAGCAGAGCATATTCTTTGACGAGGTAAGAATTGGATAAGCAGTTTTAAAAGGCAAATTAAAAAAAAGATTCGACTGAATTTGCTCCAAAAAGATGCTCTCAGATCTCCACTCAACTGTCATTCTGTTTATCATTCTATGCTTTCTCCATATGCCCATATCCCTCGGTCAAGATGACGAGCGATACAGGAATTGTGGTGAGCCGTTTCGCTGCCGTGGCATGGATATAGTTTACCCTTTTTGGGGAGGGGGGAAACTAGAGTATTGTGGTCATCCAAGTTTTGAGATCAAGTGCGAAAGTAACATCCCCAAAATTGCAATTGAATCAACAAGATACGAAGTGATAGATATCAACACCCCTAATCGAATTGTAACCCTGGCTCGGGATGATTTACTGAGTAGTATTTGTTTGGATAATCCCGAGAATGCCTCCTTTGATTTAAACACTTTCAGCTATGTTTCGAGTGACCTGAATATTACTCTGTATTTCGGCTGCACCGTCCGCCCTGGTTTGCAATTACCACCTTCGTCTCCAAATAGGTTCAATTGCAATAGCAATATATTTGGTATATATACGCTGATCGACGTTCCCTTCGACCTTACTCTGGTAACATGCCAGGAAGAAATAATAGCTAGGGTCAATCAAACGAATGCTGTGGCATTAGCCAGTCCTACAGCTTCCATGGAAGTTCTGAGAAGAGCCATTGCTGGCGGTTTTTCAGTAAATTGGACGGCAGGTATTGATTCTAAGTGCCAACAATGCGGCAATTCAGGTGGAAGATGTGGATCCAATCCAGATTCTGGAGACTTTGCTTGCCATTGTCTAAATGGTATTCATTCAAACGACTGCAACGATGGACAAAGAGACTTACCCGGTAATCTTTCCTCTACTAATCCTCATAATTTACTACTACTAGAATCACTTGAAGACAAGTTGTAGGAGAAAGTATCTTGTCCCAATTTAGACTTTGAATAAAACAGCTATAATTCCTAGGAATTTCTACATATTCAAACGTATACCTTATGTATCTTAATTTAGTTACTATTACTCTTTTCCTTAGTTCAGGTATAAACCATACATGAATTCTCATATCAATTACTAACATATGAACTACGAAAATTGGTAGATGATGAATCTAGCTTATATCCAACATCCCCTTTAAACTATATTTATCACTTCAAAAAGACATTAGGGAAGTATCCAAAACTTGATCTTGCGACTTTCTTGGAACTTTCTCTACCTAATTCATGTCGAATGCATCTTTGATGAGAGCCACCTGTTTCATCATTCTTTCTTGAGAAAAACTCTGCTTGAAAAGCATATACAACTTAATTCTTGTTTTGGTTAGTCTTTCTTCATGGACTTGCAAAAATAAAGTTCATTAATGGTCGTGATGTTCAAGTCCTTGAACTCTTCTGGATTGACTAGTCATTCAGCAATTCACCTTTTTTTTTTTCTAAATTCTCTCGATCTATAGCTTTTCCTTCATTTTTCCTTTTGTAGTCTCTGTGAAAGAGATATTTTGAAACTGTGACACGGTTCGCTTGAGTTGTTCATTCATGATAGTCCTTTGTAGTTGCGCTCAGATAAAATCCTGAAATGAATGATAAGTTCTTGGCACATATTGCAGGTTCATCAAGGATTCCGACAGCTGCAATAGGTAAAGCATCCCTGTGTCATTCCCTCAATCTGCTTTACTGCGTTTGTACTTGATCTATTAACAATATCTATATGCAGTTGCCGCAGTTTGTATCGCAGGTCTGGCCATAATATCAGTTCCAATCATCTATTGCCTCAGAAGTCAAGGGTCATCCTGTAAGTCACTGATTTGCTGGAAGATTGAATCACAAGATCACAAAATTGAAGAATTTATGAGAAATTACGGATCTCATGCTCCAAAGATGTACAGCTATTCAGATCTAAAGAAAATAACAAGCTCATTCAGCCATAAAATAGGACAGGGAGGATTTGGTCAGGTATACAAAGGAAAACTACCTGATAGTCGCGCAGTAGCTGTAAAGGTCCTGACAGAAACTAATGGTGACGGAGAAGAATATATAAATGAGGTAGCCAGTATAAGTAGAACTTCCCATGTTAACATAGTAGGGCTTTTGGGATTTTGTTACCAAGGAAATAGGAGAGCCTTAATCTATGAGTACGTGTCCAATGGTTCACTGGACAAATTTCTTAACAGTGGACCATCTAGCACAACTTGTACCTTGGAATGGACGACATTGTACAGTATCGCAGTTGGGACTGCTCGAGGTTTGGAATATTTGCACCGAGGTTGTAACACAAGAATAGTGCACTTTGACATAAAACCTCACAACATTCTCTTGGACGAGGATTTCTGCCCCAAAATATCTGACTTTGGCCTCTCTAGATTGTGCGAGAGAAAGGAGAGCATTCTATCAATGTTAGGTGCCAGGGGAACTGCTGGATACATTGCTCCAGAAGTGTTCTCTAGAGCGTTTGGACACGTCTCTCACAAATCAGATGTCTACAGCTACGGCATGCTTGTTCTTGAGATGGTTGGAGTGAGAAACAATGTTAACATGAGGCAAACTAGTGAAGTATACTTTCCAAATTGGATCTATGAACATCTCGAGCTGGGTAAGGACCTAAGTCTACAAGGTATCATGAACGAAGAAGATGAAGAATTAGCAAGGAAGATGATTTTAGTGGGCTTGTGGTGCATTCAGACCAAGCCGTCAGATCGACCAGCAATAGAGAAGGCAGTTGAAATGCTGGAGGGAAGCCTTCACTCCCTACAAGTTCCACCAAAACCTGTTTTGGTTTCTCCAACAAGATCCATCCTAGAGTCATTTACATCAACATCCACAACGACCTCGGAATGGAGGTTCGTTTCTGGAGCCAATATCGCTTCCGAGTTAAAAACAATTGATGCAAATTTGTAAGTATATTCAAACGAAAGTGTTGATTAATTTAGTGGGAGTACTATCCCGAGTTTGATCACCACTGATTAAGGTTCGGAGCCATTAGTGTGTTGATAAAATTATTGCCAATTGGTAACAAGCAGAGAGAGAACATAAATTTCTCATTTATGGTGGCCTCACCAAACATTCTAACTCATTTGGTTAATCTAGCTGTGTCATACAATGCTTGTGCCAACGTAAAATACCCAAGGCTGTCATCCAAATTATATATGTATCGTCTCCTGCTGTAAATGAGCAGCCGCAACCTGACCACACTTGTTTTGATAAATTACACTAACACCTATGTCGTAGTCTTGTGTTAAATGAAGGATAAGCCATAGGTGCACTACACTCTGGATTGATGATCACTAAATAACAATGAATCCTCCTGGTAACACCCATCTCATCCTGCATCACAACCATCTGTGTGGATTTGCCACTTCTCAATTAAGCTAAAAAGAACTTAATTTTAAAAGTCAATGTGTGGTAAGAACAGGTCCTTGTAATGCAATCTTCCATTGAGTGGTATAAAACATTTCTGCAGTAGTTCAAACCTGGAATTGGCACAATATCACAAAGTTGCTGCAAGAGAGGAGGAACAGTGTCCTCAAATTCAGCAGTGCAATTAATGTTTACCCACTCCGTGCTGTATGGAACAAATCCCTGTAGTATGTTCATCTTCTCCCTCCTCCAAATGTCTGTTTTATTGCTTTCAAGTGTAGAAGGTGGGCCTACTTAATGCTTCGACAGATAATTCCTGTAATACAGGTCATGGGACTTGAGGTCTGAGTTCTGGAACTAAATCAAAATAATCTTAAACCTTACCAGATCATGCAACAAGTATCAGTCCTTTGAAATTGTCTATTATGTAATGTTAGCAATGTTACTCTATCAATCCATTGCATCTGCAGTCCACCACCATCCTGCCACACAAGATACAGATAAGTGAACTACACCATGGGTCCCAGTTCTACAGCTATGGAAAAACCGATCAGAACTATTAAAACCTAAACTGAAGCACCCTGAGCTAGTTGACACATAATTTTTGCTGATTGAATGAGAGTGACAGGAAAACACAGCAAGAGAAATGATTAATACAGCTACCAAGGGATAAATTAAGTAGGCATTCATGCACACAAAACCCCAGTGCATGGCACACTAGTGCTAAGTCCCATGATGTGGAAGGATTTATCAACTCTCCACTTTGTTAAGAAGATGCAGTCCTTGGCATCTTATCGTCTATTTGCATTATTTAACACATGGTCACACGATATGTAGTATCCGCTTTAAATCTTGGTCTTCTGCTCATTTTTGGGATTCTAAAGCCACTGATATCATCGATCTCAGACTCTCAGTACAAAAAGTTGGAAGCTTAACAGCCAAAACGCAAAAACCATGGCTTAGCCTCGACAAGGGCATGACTTTTAGTAGATCAACACCTCTTCAAGAAATTCAAACCTCCATATTTCAGACCAGATTTTCCAAATCCAAAATTAAGCTGAAACAATATGAGGCAGTTACATCTCTTACTTCAACCCAAAAAAATAATAAAGATATTATGAGGCAACTATTTTGCAAGGTTTAGCCAATAAATTTATTAGTGCTGCAAACCACCCGTCTAGAATTGAAGTAAAACAAAACTAAATTATCAGGATATTGACAGCATATCTTTATAGGTAAGAGAATAGGATACCTGAACTGTTCTGGTCTCATCAGGAGAATCACAAAGTTGAATGTTTCTCCAAGTTGCACAGTTATCCCAAAAGTGAAATCCCAAGATGCACTTCCATCTCAAAATTTAATGAGTATAAGGTCATAAATCAAGGGCTCTCAAAGCAATAGTCCTTATTTCCCCATAATACTCACCTAGCTAGCTCATTAAATTTTGAGTGAATTCTCTTCGCGCTGATATATGTAGACCATGTCAAGACAGAGATCAAGAGCAATAGTAGTTATGACTGCACCACAAGCTTTAGATCTCCCCCATTTGACCAATCTTTACTGTATATTCTACCTGCAAAAAACAACTATCCATCAAATTTCAGCTAATAACACTGGATAAGATTCACTTGAGATACCATTTCAAAGCCAAAGAAATAGTCACAACTAATTTTAAAAATGGAAGGCAAAGGCAATCAGTAGACAAAGAAGAACTTTAACAGAGACAGAAATTACCAACTTCAACTTAAGATCAGAGATTGCCTGCTCCGTTTGATTTGCATAAAACTTCAATGACTGAAAGAACAACATAATTCTGAGATCCAGGATTTATAACAGTCACAAAACTAAGGGCTAAATAAACTAGCCATAAGATGCAGAAGACTCACTCCAAGTCTCTGCATTTCCAGGGACCGACATAAAGCTTGTCTTTTGTTTAGAAGATTTTGAGGAACTGACTCCGGGCGTCTGTAGTTCTTTCCCCGATAAATTATCATTGCATGGCCTTCTTTAATTTTGTCAACAGAAATCAGTATCCCACCACTTTCTGTCTTGAGGAGCTTTGCAGTATGAATGACCTGAGAAAAGATTTTCTGCATTGTGATCACCTTAATAACTTCTCTGTGCTTCCAATGCTGATGGAGACCAGCTAAGACACCATCAAAAACACCACGTCTCCCTGAAGATAAATTGAGAAAGTAGATTTGAGGTGGCCAAGTGATCATAAAATAGTTTTATCATAGAGCAGAACTGAAAACTTTCTCGATATTTTAAGATCCTAAAATTTTGAGCAATTAGTAGTTATCAGACAGAGGTATTGTTGTCGAATATTGGAATGAAATGGAGCTGAATAAAACAGAATTGATATGAAGCAATAATATAGTTGGCTCAACTAGCTCGGGTTGAAGCATTGTTATCGAGCCGTGAATAATATTGAGGAAAGCAGTTTGTTTATACAAGTCCAACTAGGGAACATGACAAATAATAGTTCACTTCTCTGTGGAACTATTTAAGATGTGTAATCATAACAGAAATTTCAGAATCCGGGTAGATAACAGACAATATATCTGTAGAAGACTCTCAAGTTTCCGATTGCAACTCAGCTACAGTTTTTATAGTTTGACCAAGAAAGAGAAGAGAGGAAAATATCGCAAAAATTTGCTCACCAAGAACTAAACTCCTGTTCATCTTCAATCCTATCTGCCTAAGAGATCGTCTTTCTTCCTGTGTTAAGATTTCTTTATCATCATCCTCTTTGGCAGGTCTCCAGGCAGCATTTAGCTTTCCCAGTGCTATAGATGATTTTTCAATCTTCTTCTTGAGCTGCATGATAGAGTAGGGTAGTGTTTCATTTGCTTCTTAAAACATTGAAAGTGAAAAATGAATAGCTGATATCTTACAATGTAAAGGCCGTGCTGTTGATTCCTCAGTTCTTTTTCTAATCTTTCCTTTTCAGACATTAATTGAACTTCAACCTCAGATTTCTCCTTTCCAGGTTCTGCAATTGTCTGGAATTCTGATAAAGTCCCAACACTACTACTGCACATTGATACTTCCATAGTGATTGGAAGAGTTTCAATTGCTTTGAATCGTGCAACTTCTTCCTCAAGCTGACATCTTGTGAGCTCCACCTCCCTTTCAGCAACAAGGTTTGCAACTTGAGAAGGAAGAAAATCCTTGCCTCTGTATAGGATTATAAAGAACTTATTCCGCAATAAAAGGACTCCTCCTGTAAGATGCTGCAAAAACAAAGAAAAAAGAGTTGAGCATTTTATCAGAATCTTAAGGGCAAAGCCGCTGATCTATAGCCAATGTGCCCAACCTTTTCTTTCATTTAGCTTCTAACACTGCTTAGAAGGCCCACTAGAGCACTATGGAAATTTTATAGCTAAAAGAGGCTAGATTCTGTAGCTTGAATAACATTTCCACCAAACACCATTCAGACACTTAATGCTTTTTCCAGTTGTCGAAGTGTTTTCAACACCACACAATTGTTTACTATGACACACTCCCAACATTCATAATCTTAATGAAAATAGACTTCGCTGAAACATTCACACCAAGCTTCCTAAGCTCAATTCTGGCACCAATGCCCTGACACATTCACCAACAAAGCTTTGAAACCATCTATATTAGCAGCTTAAGTCCTCTTTTAATTTTGCAATTTCGGTAACTAATTCAATCCTAAATTATTTCTGTTCTGCAAAAGAAGAACTAATAGCATAGGACAAGGTGCAATCATGGTAAGTTCTTGCCATAATCTGATGGGAAGAAATGACCCAGCACTTTTTCACTCCACTGGGATATGAACCCTGGTCTCAAAGATGTTCACCCAATTCATTGGCTTCTAGGCTGCACCCCTAGCGCACTAGTTAAAACTGATTATTATGTATGAATAGGAAGAATTGAGAACATTAGAAGGATACAAATGGGTATTGAAAGTGAGCAACTTTAAAATTGAAAAACTTAATGCCTCGCCAGACCTGCTCTGCCCTACTTCCATTTCTAATTTCATAGAGAATCAAAATAGGGTTTCAAACTGAAGAATAGTACCTATTTCATTCTACTATCTACCACAATATGAAGACAAGATAGTTATATGAAACAGAGGGCAGTTAGCAGCTCTTCTCCTCCCATTTTATACTCTACTAAGAGGCCTAGAAATATAACTGATGTCATGTAACCATAGAACAAGCTAGCTATCTATTAAGACAGACTCATCTATTGCTCAAGAAGTTGACTGCGATTGATTGAGAAAACATAAGGATGTTAAATACAAATTGCTTTGACCAAACTTACCTTTAACTCATTTGCCATTAGCTCATTGTTAGTATTTGGAATTCCCCACTTCAAAGCTATCTTTGCTATGTGACATTTCTCCCACAACTTTACGACTGCTGCAGCCAAGCCTTGCAGTTTTCTGTTTCTCCCTTCATGTCATGTCATGAAAAAAAACTATCTCAAACAGGACAAACATAGTCATAGAGTTGCACAAGGTGCATAACCAATTGCATCAAAATGGGTGCTCAAAACTTTCATCAAATCATCCACGATAAAAAATGTCAAACAAATACAATTAGCTAATTTATTATTCATGTGCAGCAAAGACCTAGCAACGGACGAGAGTGCACATGTATAGTGTTCTAGAGACAAGGGTGAATGGAGGGATCTGACTTGTTTCTCTTTAACCTCAAGAGGTGTAAAAGGTAGATCATTTTGATATATTTATCTACTATCTCCATACAAATTTGATCATGTTCAGGGAGTAAAACATAAACCAAATATAAACCTCTGAGAATTACATAAAAGCAATCCCAAGTCAAACTCTTACATCAAGAATATGTAAGAATCAATATTTAAACAAGTCTTGTGTAAAGATGAATTTTGACCCTCATATGCACAGAGTGGACAAAAGGAATCCTTACGACAAAAGGCACCACAAAAAAAAAAACTTGCAAATGACAAGTACCGTCAAAGTTCTGATTAAGACATTCTGTTTTCTTTCAAAAAAGGAACCCACTTTCCTAATTAGCTTATGATGTTACATGTCCACTTTTTAAATGTCTAGACAGTCAAACTCAGAAGAAGCATATACCACTGTTAATGCACCAACTGGCAATTTTTCTTTCTTGACATGAACATAAATGACATAATATCACACGTCAAACATCATACAACAAGCAAACTACAGTTACATAACAGTAATATTCTCAATGATAAAGATGACTCAAGTCCAAATTATCAGTAGAGACACAGTATAGCAACCCATGATATACACAAGCAGGGAACATGTGCAGAATAGAATTACTGGAGCAATTCATCTGCACAAGATATGATCATCAAGATGAGAAACCTACCAAGGACAAAATGAGTTGGCAAAGCACGAGCAAGTTTCCTTAATTGTGTAAGTTCATCATCTGTCAGGTTTGATCTTGAACGTGGTGGGCAAAGTCTAAATGGTGGCTTAAATCCAGGAACTACTTCAGGAAGTAAATCCGCATCCACAGGCAAAGGCTTTGGCCACCACCAATCAACATAACGAGGTCCTAAGTCATCCAACAATCTATTAGCTTCCCTCACATAAAGTGACTCATTCATTACTAGGCTATCCTCTTCTGAGTTTCCAACACTTCTCATTTCATCTTCACTGCTCCCACTTGAGTTCAATGGTGAGAAAATACTTGTCTCTTTAATATTTTCAGTAAATGAAGAGTTCTGGTGATTACATAGAAAGTCATGCTGTAGCTCCTTCTGTTGTAAAGTATAGCTACATCCTCTATAAACAACCAGAGCATTTTGCTTCATCCAAACAACAAAGCCTCCAGTCTTCATCTGCAGTACAAAAAGGAATAACACACAATTCTATCAAAAAGGACAGAAACTTAACAAAGTAACCTCTACACTTATGAGAAATAACTACTAGAAACCATGTTAGTATTATTTAGGAACAATGAGCACTGGTTTATTAGATACAATAGAGAACTGAAACAACATAAAGAGGAGCATCCGAAAGGACAACTAATCCCGTCATGCTTAATATAAACAAGAGGTTCCCTGAAAAAGGAAACAATTCCAACGCGAAGTTACCAACTTGATCGATGGACTAGACTTGTTTGAGGATTCACAACTATGACCCCTTGAGCGAACAAATCATAAGAATTTTAATACAGAAACTGATTGCATGAAGCAAGCACTTTTACCAGCATCCAAGACAACTAAAAATCAGTTCTGGCAGTCCCAAAACCAAAGCCCAAAATCACTTTCTTCTTTTCCTAGATTAAAAAAAAAAGACTCAACTCAATCAAAGAGGGATCAGAAGTATTTTAAAACACTAACGGTAGTTTGATTTGATGTATAAGAGGAAATAGTCTCTCTAAGAATACTGCATTACTAGATGACATTCGTTAACATGAGAATTCTTGACAACCGATATTTGCTTGATGATGAAACCACACCGCAACTAAATACGATTATATATCTCAAACATACAAATATGTTATAGCAGGATCAGAAAACAAAATATAATAACATCAGAAAATGAAAAGGTACCTCTGCAAGTTCTTTTTACCCTACGAAGCACAAAATATAGAAAGCTTATTTACGGACATGATCATTGATAATACGGTGTTTATAGACAAACCTCAACAATTTCTCGAGCTCTGTCCATATTACGGCATAAAGGCAGGTCAAATTTGAGCATTGCAAGTTCATTATTCTTCCAAATAAAGTGGATTTGATCAACAACAGTTCGGGTAACTCCGGCTTTCTTAACCTTCACCCACTTCTGAATCCTTGCAGCCTCACCCCTCAATCTCTCAAGCAACATTGCATCAAGATTCGACTCTGCAGTCATGACAACTTTCTCATTCTTCATTCTCCTATACACAATTCTCACCTCACTCTCCCATGGCATTTTCACCCCACTTTTTCTACTCCCTCTTCCTTCCCCTTCTCTTGATAAAACACCAAATTCTACTCCCTCAAGGCTTTCCATATTGTCCTCCTCCCCATATGGGTTTTTCTCCTCAATTTCATAACTCACATCTCCCCATTCAGATAAAGATCCTGGTGGGAACTGAAATTCAACCTTTGCATCAGTTTCCACCTGTGTACCTTCCCCAATTTGCGTTTCTTGGAGTTTATCAATTCCTTGATAAATCATCTTCATTGCTTTTTTACCTCTTCCTCCACTAACTTTACCAGAAAGTGCATCATTAGGGTTTTGGGTTTTAGCGAAATTGGCATCTTTCTTCTTTCTTGATTTGGATAAGTCCAAAACTTGATTAGGTTCAAGAAGAAGAGGACCCCTCATCCATGGAGCAGTAGGGCCTTTAATTCCTGAACTTGATGACCCATAATCTTGATTTTCAAATTCAAGATTGCATTGCTCCTCGTTCTTGATGGGATTATTATTATCATTGTATTGAGAGGAAAAGGTGGTAAATTTAGAATTGAAAGATTTGGAAAAAAGAAGAGTTTTTTGGTTGATAAAAGAATTGGAATGGTGATAACAGAGGGTATTCGAATTGGGAGCGAGAACCAAAGGAGCAGACATGGATATCTTGAATTCTTGATAGGAATTTGTTAAGCTCTTAGCAGTTGCCAAGTTTGTGAAGTCAAATTTTATCAACAAGAAAGAGGAAACAACGACAAAGCACACTATTAAATAACTTATGCTGAACTGATTTTTTTTAGCTTGCCTCCCTCTTTACATATTTGCATTTTGATATATATATGAGTTTCATAATTTATATGTATATTTAAAATTAATTTCATCCTGTGTATTTGATATTAATTTTATCTTGCGTATCTGATATCAATATCATTAATGTATTTTATATCAAATACTCTTTTAGTTCACTTTTACTTGTCACATTTTGACTTGACAAAGAAAATAATTATTGATATAGATATTTTATCAAATTATCCCCTATTAAATGATATCTTGAAAAATGATTTGAAAAATAAGTACTTAATAATGAGAATAAAACATGGAAAAAAATATTATATTTTTTTAATTTATTAAAAATAACAAGTAAAAATGAAAAATTATTTTAGAAATAAGTGACAAGCAAATATCCACTAATAGACATATTCATGTATAGCAAGCATATGAGATTGAGAATGTATGTGTTTAGTATCAAAATCTCTGCTCGAAACATTCATTTGTGTATTTTCTATTGTCTGTAATGCACTTTTTTGTTTCTTTTTCTTTTTCTTTTTTTATTAAGTTTTGACCATTACTACCAATATCAATTTATTATTTAAATATCACTTACAAATATTAAAATTCATCTAATCTTCTTATGAAGTTGGACGAATTTTTTCATTAATTTGAATAATATAAGTAGACAAGTTTTGATGACCTAATTAAACTGATCAAACATCATTGTGCTTCTAATATTAAACCCAAAGAAAATTACATTGTTACCTATAACATATAACATACTTATGTTGAGAAAATGAGCAAAATGGTCCTTAAAGTATGGGTATTGCTTTATTTTGGTCATCAGTATATTTCACTTGTTTAAATGGTCCTTAATGTATTATAAAAGTTGTTTATTTTGATCTTTTATTTTAAATTTAACAGATTTGTCAAAAAAATAATATTAAATTTAACTATGGACCCTACATGGCTGATAAAATTTATCGTTGTTGTCTTCTTTGTTAGCTCCAAAGAAAATTTCATGAAATCTAACATTATTATCTCTAATTTCTCTAACAAAAATTTAATATTTTCTCTTGCTAAAAATAAAAATGGTAGCTCAGTGAAATAATATTTTAGAAAATAGTAAATTTTGTCGGAAAAAGAGAGAAAATGGTCTTACATTTTTTGGATTTTTTTCTTTAGAAATAACAAAGAAGACAGCAATGTTGAATTTTGTTAGCCACGTTGGGTCCATAGTTAAATTTAATACTTTTTAAAGAAAAATAAATCTATTATATTTAGGTAAATGAACCTATTTTATTGTATATATTAAGGATCATTTCAATCAATTAAAATACATTAATGACCGAAATGAACACATATCTTATACATTAAGAACCATTTAAGTTAAGTGAAATACATTAAGGATCAAAATAAAGCATTACCCATATATTAAGGACCATTTTGGTCATTTTATTTTCTCTACTTATGTTTGATATATAGATGCACTGTATCGTTTACTAATATCTTTCGTAATTTCAAGTAACTTCACAAATGTTAGTTTTTAAAAGTATTGGAGTTAATTTCTTTTATGGTGTATAAGAAAAATAATCTACTGTTTTCAGTCATTACATTTTCTTGTCATCCTGTTGATCATCAACAGGATGACTAAGAGTACCAAACATCCAGTCCATCCATATTGTGTAATGACCATAATTATGTCGATATGTTGTATGATGAATAGTATGATAGCCAGCACCCATTACAGGCCACACCTTCACATGTATGCAGTCATGAATATTAGCAGTCCATAAGGTATCCATGAATAAGAGCCCTATGTGTGTAGTGAAATGCATTGGCACAACGAATAGAGCTACGACGTGTGGCATCGCCTCCAGTACTCCATCCAGTGGGTGGAGTGCCATTCCTGACATGTTCATCATTCTGAATTACAAAAAGAAAGAAATATGGATGGTATGTATGACTAGAGTTGAGAGCTTACCAGCAAATGGGGAAAGTGTGTTTTGCTTGTTGTAAATATGATGTGTAGAATGCAGATATTTGTACAGAGGTTTTATGTCATGCATTAATTTGTGCATCCAATAGATTCCAAACTCAATTATTACAAGATAAATAGCTGTATTGATGAAGTAGGTAAGCCATTCAACATCACTTATTCTTGCAAAACATTTAGTCCATCCATTTTCAATTAAGTACTCAGAAAGTGATGGAAGGACACAGTACCAAGGCATAGCTTTCATGGCAACTGATATCTGCAACACCATTGCTTCCTTTGATAGTATGGCCTCATCTGCAATCAAAATGTTCATCAGCCAAAACCGAACCGAAACAGTATAATATATTTGGTTTGGTTTTGATAATTTCAAAATCTATTAAGTTTATTTGGTTTTGATTTTGACCAATAACTAATCCAAACCGACCTGTGAACACCCCTATATGTGACCCTTTTTCTTACACTTTACATACTTCAAATATTGTAACACCCCTAAAACAGGACCGTTTGGGGCCTAAAGTCAAACTTTATAAAGAGGTCTTATTTTTTAGTTGACACACGAATTAAATTATTATAACATACTTAGTATAATCCTATAAATGAGGTCGGAACAGGTAGGATATACACTTATATTATGAAGTGAGAATGTAAACAATGTAAATTTTCAATGAAAAATATATAATATCAAGTTAGAATAATAAAACCTGACTCAAAATTTGAAAATTATATATATTGATATCGAAATAGTGTTGTGCTAAATTTGTTAATTAAGTTGATATAATGATATTAAAATAGGAGTATTGATTAGTTTTGAAATTTGAAGAAGACATCAAAAAAATAAAGTTGATTTTTTATAAACACACAACAATAGACTTTACATGATGTAGAAATTTAACCGTTTGAGATACTTTAGATAAGTGAAAGATGTATTAAAAAAAATATATAAAAATAACAATGTTGGTTCATGATATTCATTAGAATATAAATGAAACAACAAAATAGATATCCAAATAAGAAAAGATGTTGTAACTAACTAAACACTATTCAATTTCTCAATTATTACAACGATCTCTATATTAAATGAGGTAAAAATTATTATATTTTCTATCCAAATTTTTATTTTCAAATTTATCAATACATTAGTTTTATTTAAGGGATAAGGCTCAAGTATGTCATCGAACTTTGAAAAAAAGACTCATTTATGTCATTCGATTAAAAGTTTGTCTCATCTATGTCATTTCTGTTTGAGAAAAGACTTATCCATGTCATTATTTGTTAACTGAAATGACATATATGAATTTTGGGAATATAGAGATTGCGATTCAAGTGATAGACGTAGAAGGTGCAGAGGGAAGCGGAGATGAAATAAATTAGAAGAGCGCCAATGTAGTTACGGAGCCATCCTTGAAGCAAGTGAGGAAGTGGTGCCCACCATGATTCCGGCAACAATGTACCTAAAACCAGACGATTGTAAAACGATGTCTCCTCCACGAACACCTTCAAGTAATCCTCCATCTCCGACGGATTGCGTTTTACCAAACTCCGGCAGAGGAGGAACTATGGAGTGAGAGCTAGTGAGAAGAAGTGGGTCTACGGCGATATCACAATATGTGCATGTGTGACCCTATTTAAGTAAAACGGATTACTCCTTCTGTTCCAATTTATATGACACATTTCACAGTTTATTTTTAACATTAATTATTTTTTAGAACCTAAAATGGAAATAATACGATAAGATAACCATGTAAAAGTGATACAAACTTTTGACTCGAGAAAAATAGTTCAAACTTCTAAGCAATTCAATAAAATATAAATGAAACTGAAAGTTAGAGAACTTTAAATATGAAGTACATACTATATATGATACTAGTACGTAGGATTTGGCAGATCTTTATGATAATTGTAGTATTGTATTCTGAGAAAAACAAAAGAGAAATAAGGTTGGATTAAAATGTAGGATATATTTAATTAATTTCAGATTGCATGGTCAATTTATTTCGATTAGGATATTATTAGGTTTAACAATGGAGTTGTACTAAATGAAATAGAGCGGGACAAGTTATTTTTTTCTATCAAAGTTTTGTTGAATGATTCAATATCTCGCCTCATTTTTATTAATTTTTCATATTTTAAGTTTTCTTTATTAAATATTTTAACGGGGAGATACTCTAAAATATTTTTAAATTTTACGTCAATTTTTAAGTATATATTATTTAGTTTTTAAATTTTAAATTTTGTCTGAACCTTAATTTGAATTCATGTTAACATGCTTCATTAATCTCGCTATTATTGAGAGTCAATTAGCATTTAGTGATATGTTTTAATTTTTTTGTTTGACATATATAATTTATGTGAGGTTCAGATTAAAGTTGAAAATGTGTTTGGTCATAGTTATAAAACGTATTTTCTTTCTTCTTTTTTTGAAAACACGAAACATGATTTGAATTTAAAATGTATATTAAATTACTTTGAGATCACATGGTTAAGAAAGACTAGAAATTAAAGGTAGTTTTTTTCTTTTGGGCAGTCGTACCACAACTATATATTAGGTTGGGGATGCATGGAGCGGTACGAAATGAAATAGGGAGGGTTAAACTACGTTTCCTATTGAAATTTTGTTGAACGGTTCAATGACTCACCTCATTTAATTTATTTTTCATACTTAAATTTCCTTTATTAAATATTTTACGGAGATACACTTTAAATATTTTTCAAATTTTTGTCACAGTGAAATATATACTATTTAATTTGTAAAAATAAAATAAAAATTTGTTAGTACCTTAGTTTTAAATTCACGTTATCATACTTCATTAATCTGGCTACTATTGAGAGTCGGCATGCATATTGGATGATAGCTTTTAATTTTTATGTTTGAAATATCTTATTTATATGAGGTTAGCAGTGAAGTTGAAAATGCATTTGGTCATAGTCCTAAAACGTACTTTTCTTCTTCTTTTTAGAAACACAACATGATTTGGATCAAACATGCATATTGAATTACTTAAAGATTTCATGGTCAATTTCTTTCAACTAGAAATAGTCATTTTTGGCAGCTGAACTACAAGTATTAGGGTTGGCAAATGAGCGGAACGAAATCAAATAGGGCAGGACAAGCTATTTTTTACTATTGAGGACTATCTCGGTTCATTTTTACTTGTTCAATATTGTAAAAAGAAAAAAATAAATAAGATCATATGAACCAAAGTATTGACGGAAGGATATATTTTTGGATCAAATTATAAACAAAGAACATTTTTATTTATTTTACATTATTTGAAAACAAATTTGACCTTTTTCTATGATAAAAATAATTTTTCATTTTACTTGTTACTTTCGAAAAAATAATCATTTTTTTCATATTTTATTGTTAACATTAATTATTTTTGAGAACCTACAAATGTGAATTAATGGAAATAATGCGATAAGATAACCACATAAAAGTGAAACAATTGCTGGCTCAAGAGAAAAATGAGGCTGGAAAATAATTTTGACTCGAGAAAAATAGTTCAGACTTCTAAGCAATTCAATAAAATAAAATATAAATGAAACAGAAAGTTGAGAAATTTTAATAATAAAATGTCGCCATGCAACTTTAGATATGAAGTACACACTACTTACTAGTACGTAGGATTTGGGAAATCTTTATGATAATTGTACTACTGTATTATGAGGGGGAAAAACGAGAAATAAGGTTGGATCTAAAATGTTGAAACAGGTTATTTTTCCAAATTAAAATTTTGTTAAACGATTCAATATCTCGCCTCAATTTATTTATTTTTCATATTTCAGTTTTCTTTTATTAAATAATTTGAGTTTTCTTTATTAAACATTTCAAGGAAGAGATACTTTAAAATATTTTTTAAATTTTCATCAATTTTAAATATATATTACTTATTTAATTTATGAAATTTTAAATTTAGTTAGAACTAACCTTAATTTGAATTCATGTTAACATGCTTCATTAACCTGATTACTATTGAGAGTCAATAAGCATTTAATGATATGTGAGGTTGAGATTAAAGTTGAAAACACGTTTCGGCATAGTCATAAAACGTATTTTCCTCCTCCTTTTTTGAAAACACAAAACATGATTGTATTTTAAATGTATATCAAATTATTTTGAGATCGCATGTTAATTCTTTTCGACTTGAAATCAAATGTAGTTTTTTTTGGACAATTGTACCACAACTATTAGAGTTGACGAAATGAAATAGGACGGGGACAAGCTATGTTCCCTATTGAAATTTTGTTGAATGGTTAAATGACTCACCTCATCTAATTTATTTTTCATACTTAAATTTTCTTTATTAAACATTTTACGGAGAGATACTTTAAATATTTTTCAGATTTTTGTCACAGTTAAATATATATATATATATTATTTAATTTGTAAAAAAGTTAAATTTTGTTAGAACCTTAGTTTGACTTCACATTATCATACTTCATTAATCTGGCTACTATTGAGAGTCGGCAATCATTTAATGATAGATTTTAATTTTTTTGTTTGAAATATCTTATTTATGTGAAGTTCCTAGTTGAGAGGAATGGTTTGTTCTAAGCCAAATAGAACAAGTATCAACAATCTAACTTGCCTATTTTACACTGTTTTCTTATAATTTATAAAGCATATATAGAATGTGAATGTGCACTAGTTCATCTAAATGGAATATATGCTCCTTGTTACTTTAATGTATTTTCCTTATTCAACTTTGAAATCCATGTTATAAAGCTGTTAATTTCTTTCTCATTTCTCTCTTTATACACATATAGTACTCGAGATACAATTCATGAATTCTTCTATATCGAGAATGTGATCTAAAAATGTTGTGTTTAGTTCTATAGACTCTAAAGTTTCTATTATCTGTGTTATGGAAGTCTGTAATCGTTGCTGAAATGTCATCTATGCTTGCCATGTTCTGTAATCAGAATTATATGTGAATATAATTAAAAGCTCACTACAAAAGGAACCCCAATTACCAACAAAAAAATTAGTTGGTAAATTGATCAAATTGGTTGGCAAATTGAGTTACCAACCAAACGCCAACTTATATTAATCTGTTGCTAAAAGGCTCGTCGGTAAATATTACAACCGATTTTAATTTGTTGGTAAACTTACCAACCAAAAATCAGTTGGTAAACACCCAAAGATATTGTTACAAAATTTTGAAACATGGCCCTGAAATTTCCGTTGGTAAATTCACCAACTAATTTTTGGTTAGTATATCGTTAGTATCTTTACTAACGAATTGAAAAGGAGTTAGTAAATTTTTTTCTTCATTATTCAATTCCGTTGGTAATTATAGTAAATTTTTGTGGTAATTCACTAATAAATTTTAAATACTTCCTGGGAAGTCCTACATTGGGGAGTAAAGCGCTGCTCCCTAACAAAGGCGACTCTGTACCCAAGGGGAATCGAACCTGAGATCTCTTGGTTAAGGATAATCCAGTACTTACCACTCCACCACAACCCTTGTTGGTAATAAATTTTAAATACGTTAGTATGATTATTTGTTTTACTAATAAATTTACTAATTGATTGTTAATTTGTTGGTAATATATCATTCAAGGCAACTTCATACCTAAGGGGAATCGAACCTGAGACCTCTTGGTTAAGGATGTAGGAGTACTTACCACTCCACCACAACCCTTGTTGGTAATAAATTTTAAATATATTAGTATGATTATTTGTTTTTCTAATAAATTTACTAATTAATTGTTAGTTTGTTGGTAATATATCATTCAAGTTCAATGTTAGGTTAGTAATTGATTGACAATATGTTCAAAATATTATTAATTGAATGATTATCCAATAGTAAAATATTTATTAATTTATTGCATTTAAAAATCTAAGAGCACGAATATAAATCCAAAAATATTAATATCAATTTTATAAATCATATTTGAATGAAACAATGCAAAATCTATGATAACAAGTTAAATTAATCTCAATATGACACATATCATTATATCAATTTTTTTAATTTGAGCACGTTTACCAAAAATATTGACCAAATCTAAATTTTGGCCAAAATATAAAAGTTAAAACGCCTAATAGCACAATCTGAAAATGGAAGCCTCAAAACCTGAACCAACCATCCTATTAGATATAAAAAATGACCTTCCAAAGCTAATCGTGCTAACGGAATTCTCATCAGAGCACGTTTAAAAAAAATGTTAAGCAAAGTCAAATTTTGGCCAAAAGTTAAAAGTTAAAACGCCTAATGGTACAAACTGAATGTGAAAACCTCAAAATCCAAATCAACCATCCTATAAGACGAAAAATGACATTCCAAAGCTAACCGCGCTGACGAAATTCAAATTTGAGCATGTTTTCCAAAAAAAATGATCAAATTCTAGCCAAAAGTTAAAAGTTAAAATGCTTAAAGACACAAACTGAAAATAAAAGTCTCAAAACCCGAACCAACCATCCTATGAGACCAAAACTGAACTTATATGGCTAACCGCGGTGACAAAATTTCAATTCGAGCACGATTACCAAAAATATTGACTAAAGTGAAATTTTGGCCAAAACTTAAAAGTTAAAATACCTAACGGCACAGACTAAAATGGAAGCCTCAAAACCCGAACCCTTTATCTTATTACATCAAAAATGACCTTTCGCATCTAATTGCACTGACGAAATTCTCATATGAGCACGTTTATCAAATATATTGACCGAAGTTAAATTTTGGCCAAAATTTATAAGTTAAAACACCTAACGGCACACACTAAAAATGAAAGCCTTAAAACCCAAACCAACCATCTTGTTAGATAAAAAATGACATTTGGAGTTAATTACACTGACGGAATTCTCATTTGAGCACGTTCACAAAAATATTGACCGAAGTCAAATTTTGGCCAAAACATAAGATTAAAACACCTAACGGCACAAACAAAAAACGGAAGCCTCAAAACTTGAACCAACCTTCCTGTAGATAAAAAATGACCTTTCGAAGCTAATGACACTGACAGAGTTCTAATCTGAGCACATTTACCAAAAATATCGACCAAAGTCAAGTTTTGGCTAAAATTTAAAAGTTAAAACGCCTAACGACACAAACTGAATATGAAAGCCTCAACACTAGACGCTGATTTACCAAAAAGTTTAACTTTGATTGATAAATTTACCAACTATTCAAATATAAGTTAGTAATTAATAATTTACCAATAGATTTTATCACAGTTGGTAATAGTTACTATTCAACTAAACATTCATATGTAATATTACCAACTAATAATTAATATGTTGGTAAATTTTACCAATGGATTAATGATCGGTTGGTATATTACCAACTATTTTAATGATGTTAGTAATTTACTAACTACAATCTTTATTCGTCGGCAAAATTTTCAACTAATTGGATATTGGTTGGCAGGTTTATCAACAAATTACATTTTGTTACTAATTTACCAACACATTTATATTTGGTTGGTAAATTTAGCAACACAATCTTGCCGTTGGTAAATGTTTGGTTAGTAATTCATTGGTAATATGTTAATAAATTATATAAACAATTTTTTGTCATATTTACCAATCGATATATACTTTGTTGGTAATATTACCAACAAAAGGTGTGCGTTAGTAATATTTCAGTTGGTAATCCATTGATAAAATGTTGCTAAATTTGGCGCCATTTTTTCCCGTCGTATTTACCAACTAAAATACTTAGTTAGTAAGATTTTGGTTGGTAATCTGTTAGAATTTCATTGTTAAGTTTTAAAATATAATTCAGTTAGAAATATGTTGGTAATTTGTTAGTAGAATACTAACCAACTTAAGTTGTTGGTAAAATATGTTGGCAATTTAAGATTTTTTTGTAGTGGCTGTTAGTGCGGTTTATCAACCAAAAGACCCATTGGTTCTTAATACCAACCGAGGACCTGTTTAGGTGATAAATTGCTCTTTAGCATTCTCCAAAGAGCTGGGCTTGAATGAATAAAAGCTCATATCATAGCTTTTGTGCATCTTAATATCTGTTAGTTTACTATCTTTAGGTTCCTATTTAATATGATAAGTTATTTTGAGTATAAAGACTTATAACCTTCCATTCAAATACTGCACCATGGTATCTCCCTGCTTTCTGTTTTTTTTTTTCTTTTTTCTTTTCTCTGTCTCGAAGTTGGTTTACAAGTTCAACTTAGATATGGGTGTTAAATGTTGGTTTGATGGTTGAGACGTGAGAGGCTTAACTCTATTAAGAGTGGAGATTTGAACATTTTTCATGAGTTTATTTTATAATTTCCCCTCCAGTTGGTATGACCATTTGTTCATTTGTATGTTCAAAGTCTTTAATATAAGTATGAATAGTATGTGTATGAAAGTTCCTTCTCCATGTCAATTTGTGAATAAACCTTCACTTTTGGACCTTGTTGAATAATTGAACAATTAAGTATAATGGTTTGGAGTTTTTTGTTTACATTGCTTATATAAAGCTAACAGTGGCCTTGATTAATTGTTTATTCCTTTCAGTAGTTAAGCCTAAGTCTTAGACTGATAGACTTTAAAGAATTTTATTTGTTTTAAGCATTATGCATGATCAAGTATTCACTTGGCTTTTGGTTCAAAGAGTTAAGTACAGTGATTGTTGATGGGTTAAATGGTAGTTCATACATTTCCTTGTTTTGATACTAATTTGCCCATCTATGCATATACAACTGTGATGAGTCTGTTTCGACTCTCCCTTTCTTCCCTGCATATTCTCTGCTGAGCTGGAACATCAACACGCCCTTGTTTCGAGTCAACCTCATCAAGTCGTGAAAGAGAAGCATAATATTATTGGGTTAAAACCCGAGAAACTAGTGGCAGGCAGCAGCTCAAGAGAGCTGAAAATGAGAACGTTTTGGGTCCAAACCCGATTATACATGGAGCAGGGTGATAGAAGCAGCCCCAAAGGGCTAAGAAATAACATTTTTTTGGACTTAAAAAGTTTGAGAATAATGCCGGTAGAGCAAGCTGATGCGGAAGCTGAGATCAGCTTGAAATTGTCCGTTTTTCTATTTATATTCATCTTTTTCCTCGCATTTTAAATTTCATGATATTTGTTGCTAACTCTAATATTTTTGTCTTTTAATTTAACTTAGATGAGTCCCAATGGAATTATGGGTTTCCAATGATTATGATTTTTATTTCACTATCTAATTAACTCAAGTTCTATATATTCACCTTTTCAATTTTAAGTTCTAAATTTAAGTTAATTTGTCCTTTTAGGCAAATTGAAAAGGTGTCTAGATTGGATTAAAAGTTGATCAAATCTACTTTTAAGTCAATTTTTGACTTTTGAAAGTGTTTGACAAATATAAAAAATAACTTAAAATAAGTTGAGAAGTGTTTGGCAATGTCGAGAATGACTTAAAATAAGTCAAAAATCAAAAGTAAGTCTCCCCCTAATTTTTATTTTTTGACTTAAAAGTCATTTCAATTTGACATTTTATTTTTGACTTAAAAACTACTTTTTTTAAATCAATCCAAACGGACCCTTAAGTTATAAGACTAACTTGATGATTATCTAATATTCTCTCAAAATTAGTAATTAGCTTGAAATTCATGTTTATGAGTTTTGAGTTAACCATCTAGTTCAAAATCTTGACTCAGATAAATTGTTACGCTAGAAATAATTTTTTCCATCCAACATAACATGGTGAGTTTGACAACGTTAAATACCTGTGAAACATTTAGCTTTCGTTATCTGATTACCTCAAGAGCTGTGGCATAAAGTTAGAAACTGAAATTTTCTTCCCCACAGATTTTATTGCCTTATTATTAAATAGAAGGGAAGAAAAGACATAAGAATACATAACCAAATTGTTTTCAGTCTACTACATCAAAATTTACATCCACCAACGATGGAAACACGAGACAAATTACTAGGACAATGAACAACAAGGAACATCCTTGAGTGCAAATCATGCACATTACATTTTCTTGGCATCCTCTTCAACGGGATCACGAAGAGTTCCAAACATCCAGTCCATCCATATTGTGTAATGACCATAATTATGGCGGTATGTTGTATGGTGAATGGTATGATAGCCGGCACCCATTACAGGCCACACCTTACCATGTATGCAGTCATGAATATTAGCCGTCCATAACGCTTCCACGAATATGAGCGCTATGTGTGTAGTGAAATGCATTGGCACCAAGAATAGAGCTACAACGTGTGGCACTGCCTGCAGTATTCCATCCAATGGGTGGAATGCCAACCCTGAATAGCACAACATGTTTAGCAATTAGCTTGAAAATGTACCAGATAAAACATAAAAGAAGCTACGACTCTCAGAGGTCAAATTAGCTCGATAGAGTATCAGAAAATTACAACACATAGGTGACACATACCAAACCATAAATTAACTGGACATCATGAATTAGCTAGCTTGCAATATTGTGATGATTTAGCAACCAATTTCCTGGAACAGGATATGCATTGCAAAGAGTTATAAAGAAAGTTCTGAATGTCAGAGATAATAGCATGGTTACAATTTACAAAAGGTAGGGAGGGCATATGCTGCTGTGCGTTGGTTAGGGGCTGTTATGCAGAGAGAGTCGATTTAATAAACATGAATGCATGTTGTGGGTGTGAATCGAAGGGACAATGTCATTAGTTGTAACATACAGTCTTTTTCTCTTTGTGATGGAATTATAGGAAATACCTTATAGCAATTTTTCCAAATTTCGACATTTTGAGAAATTTGCTTAATATTTTTCTTTCCTCAATCCTATCACAAGTTCTAGTTTCCAACAAAATGAAAGGAGAAAATAAGAACAAAAAAGTTATCAAACGCTACTCCACTCTTTTCAAGTAAACTGGATTTGGCACACAGAAACAATTAAAAGGCAAGAGACAAAATTCCAATATGTTTAGTTATTCCCTAGTCTAAACAAATACCAAGTCAACACTCGACACCCCTGACCACGAAACAAAAGGGTGCATGACTCAAGACATGGATGTTAAAATATACATATTAATTTAATGACCTCATGACTAGGTTTTCAACGTTTTTAGTCATCACACAGGAAACGCGTAGTAATTCAACAAACTATCAATAGAGTATGACAGAGAAACCTAATTGTTCCACAAGCTAGAAGTTGTTTTCAGAAATAAGCACCAATATGGTATGACTAGACTTAAGAGCTTACCAGCAAACGGGGAAAGTGTATTTTGCTTGTTGTAAATATGATGTGTAGCATGCAGATATTTGTACAGAGGTTTTATGTCATGCAACAACTTGTGCATCCAGTAGATTCCAAACTCCACTATTACAAGATAAATAGCCGCATTGATGATGTAGGTAGGCCATCCAACATCACTTATTCTCGCAAAACATTTGGTCCATCCGTTTTCAATCATGTATTCAGAAAGTGATGGAAGGGCACAGTACCACGGCATAGCTTTCATAGCAACTGATATTTGCAAGAGCATTGCTTCCTTTGATGGTATGGCATCTGCCATCAAAATGTTCATCAGGAGAAAATACAAACCATTAATTACTCTTAAATCTTTATCGAAGCTTAAAAAACTGGAATTGCTAAATTCATTGAGATATTGACATCCCTAGTTTGAACTAAGAGGACCCATCAATTAATACAAATATACACAAGAATGTGGCCTACTGGTCAATCAAGTGGGTTGAGCACGATAAGGTCTCAAGTTCAAATACCAACAGAGACAAAACACTAGTAGGTGATTTCCTCTAGAATGTTCTAGCCTTAGTGGACAGAGTTACTGATACCTGATAGTTAAGATCCACAGTAATTGTTCTACATTCAATACACAATAAAATGGGAATATGCATGTTTGGCCTTTTCTTACTCTTTACATGCTTCAAATACAGTAACACCCAAAAAATGCCAAAATATTCAAATCTAAAACAGTCAACGTAATTCCATTAACTTATAAATTTCCAATAATGCAAAGAAATCATCTATACACAAACGAAATTAAAAAAAAAAAAAAACTTAAACGGGAGAAAAAGGGGGGGAAAAATCATACCTTTGGGAATATAGACATTGCGTTTCAAGTGATAAATGTAGAAGCACCAGAGGAAACCGGAGATGAAGTAAAGTAAAACACCGCCAATGTAGTTACGGAGCCATCCTTGAAGCATATGAGGAAGTGGTCCCCACCATGATTCCGGCAAGAATGTACCCAAAACCATACGGTTGTAAAACGATGTCTCCTCCACGAACAGCTTCAAGTAATCCTCCATCTCCGACGGTATACTCGGAAAAAGATAAATATGTCCGGGTCGGGTCGGGTCGGGTTTTACCAGACTCCGGCGGGGATGGTCCGCCGGAAGAGGAGAGAGTATGGAGTGAGAAGATGGAGAGGAAAAAGAAGAGGGGCTAGGGCGGTAACACAACTGTATGTGGCTGTATTTAATGAAAATTGATTCCATCTTGGACTACTCCCACGTGTTGTCTGGTGAGCTAAACTGACAAAAGATTCTAATAAGATCGACCCCCTTTATTTTTATTTGTTTAATATTTCAAAAATATAATTCAGATTTTATTGCTATTTTAAAAATAAAATAAGGTGAAAAATGTTGCAGGAAAATTATTTTTGATATATTTTGGCTCTGAGAAAAATAGTTCAAACTTCAAAGTAATTCACTAAAAATAAATTAAACTGAACGTCACAGAAATTTTGAAATTTTAAAATAAGCCTGCAATTATATCTTGGGTCAAAAAGAGATCGAGATAAATAAATTTTATGAACAAACAAAATCTGATTATTATTTTTTTTAAAATACTAAAATCTATGATCAAATGATATCCATGAGTTATTGGTCACACATCCAATTCAACTAACTTTGATTTTAGCTTGAGATTGTTTAATAACCAACCAATTCTTTTACTTACATTTAACGTTAATGCTATTAAGTGATTTTCATAAACAAATGTATTAAACTTTAACTTTAACTAGATGAAAGTTTGTTTGTTTTTTTCCTTCAAACTTGTGTTGAACTAACCAGCCACTTGGTGCAATTGATGTCACAGTAATTAATTTTGAAGGGGGGCGCTCGACTACATAAAAAAAATTCAAAAATTAAATTTTGTCTGTCTTATTATATGGTTAAAAAAATATGGCCTTCATAAGTTTGGCCTATTCTACTTTGTCTTTTTTTGGTTTCGTTATCATCTCTGTGATTAATCATTGTGTGGTCTTTCTTCTTTTCCCCTCTATTAATGTACATTCGTTCTATGAAAATAGTATCAAGAGATTATAGTTTAAACTTTAACGTAATATATATATGAGATTGAATTTGGCAATTTATTATATTGAATTTTGTATCAGTCTAATGAAATAACATTTCTACATTTTACAAAATAAAAATTAAATAGTGTATACATTATTCTTTTTTCAGACTCAATTTATAAAATTATGTTAAATATATTATTATTGTATTATATTAAATTTAATATTTCTCATGTTAGCTATGTTATTGATCGAAAACTACTTATCAAATAAATATCTATTATTTTTGCGAAGATTGCAACTAGCTGGCCGGCCAAAGAGAATCAACTCTCTCTCTCTTTTTTTTTTAAATTTTTGGCTGAGGGGCTATAAAATCACTCTCTCCGTTATTATTGTCCTCGTGGTCCTTGTTTTTTAGCCTAAATTGTGGACATTTTTTGCCACAATGGGCCACTTGAAATGTTAGGTAGTTCTATCAATATAGCCGAAAAAGTAAACGTGGTCTAATGTTTTTTTTTTAATAAGAAAATAAAATAAAAAATTCACCTCATATTCGGAGCTCGTATTGAAACTTGATTAAATTTAAGTTGTATACGGCAGAGATGACGCTACTAATCTTTTCCTTTCTATCTTTCTGGTTTTTGTTTCTTCATCGGTTGAATTCGTTACTAAATTTATTGAGACGCTTAAATTCAATCTATTTTAATTATATGATTAAAAAAAGTTTATTAAATATTTTAACTTCAATATTTTGAAATTTGTGTGTGTTTTCACACGTTTAGTAAATAGTTAAATTAATCATATATAATATATCACATCTTTTAATTATATGTATAAATCTCAGCAAGTATTAAAATGTTAAGCTTATTCCAATCAAAACTAATATGTATAATTAAAAAAATAACATATTTTATATAATTAACTTAATTATAATAAATACTTTAAAAACATTTTAATAAACATATTTTATTATATATTTAGATACTCAATTTAATTAAAATATGTCATAGTTGGAACATGTATTAAACCTATATAATGTATCCCTCGGATTTTGTGTGCATGTGAAGGGAGTTGGGAGCAGGTTTTCCTTTTAATTAAATACTCATGTTGTCCTACAATATTAATTAAATGTAAATAGAAGACAAAGTAAGGGAGTAACACGTAGCTAGCCTTTCATGTTGTTTTGCCTTTTCTAAATATGCATCAATTATTATTCCATCTCTTTCTATTTATATCTTATCATTTTAAATTTTATATTTTTTAAGAAATTATGTAAATTTATCATTGTATCATTATTTATTATTCTTTTGAAGTCAAGTTTTCTTATGTTGGTTAAATTTATATTTTCAAATCTAATAACTCTCAAATATAAAATAAGAAGAATAATATTATTTATGTATTAATTTTATAAAATAATAAATATTAAGGACTATATATTTTTTATATGAACGACATATATATATATATAGAGAAATATATTAGGTATAGAAAGAGAGACTGAATTCTCTTTTTCCGGATCTCACTGTCTTCATACAGAGATAAATAAATAAATAATGTCTTCACATGGAATGTCATACGCAACGTTGGGTATGCAATATTTTCTTTATGGTTAATTTTTTTTAGCAGTAATTTATTAACTCAATTTATCTTGATCCATTTAAATTTAAATTAATCTATTCGTTTATACATATATTGATTTTTAATTAAAAATTATTTACTTATAAAAATATTTTTCACTGTGCGGCAAATGAATGGATCTTGAAATTACAAGGCCCGTGTTATGTATCCTGGCCCATTCATGTCTGTGGACCCCAAAGGCCCGAATAAATTGCCACACAGCGAAGCGGGTCAGGGTCGGGTCTCGAGCTGTTTCAATGGAAAAGGACGACGGGAGGAGAGAAGCTGCGATAGGATCAGCACCATCTCTACAACCCAATTTCACCAATAAAAATGGTGTCAACAATGCTCAAATTTCCAAATTTCAAGTAATCTCTTTCTCGCCTTATTTCATACCTTAATAGAACCTAGTTTTCTTGTTGTTTTCATTCATAAAGGTAAACAAAATTTCTCCATATTTCTCTATCTGATGAAGAAGCAGTAATTATGATAAATGTAAGTTTAGGAAATGGAATGAAATTTTCCAGAATAGAGCGAAATGGTTATAGAGGATTTGTCTCTCTAGTTATGTGAGAGTTTTGGATCTCCCGTTGTTGCATTAGTGACCTGCATTCATGAATTATAGAGCTATAAGATTTATCGCCATTGTTGATAAAATTTATTAACTCAATTTGAGTACCTGGAGATTTCCAGAGGCATCGATTTGGAATAACAGCTAATAATTTTGTGAGAGTTTTAGTACTATTTTGGAATACCCTTCGTGAAGCCTAGTATCCGATCACCTCTGTTATTATGTATAACTCCCCTCCATTACCTTGTACACCGGGGCTATCTATGGAAGAACCATCAGTATTGGGATTGAGGCGTAGTTTATTGAATACGTCAAGGAAAACCAAGAATTGTCATTGGTTGTTTGTCCAAGCTTTATAACATGTATGTGAATTTCACAGTTTTCCAGTGGAGTTGTAAAGCAACATACTTTGTTGTGCTTTGCAAGGATGTTTGGTTGGTTCTAACAAATAACCTTTGGTTGGGTGGATTGGTAATTTCTAACTAAAATCATTGTAGGTTGATGTGTTTTGGCGTTCATCTCAACCTACAATGATAAAGCATAGCACACCACACACCATGTGACTTTCTAGTCTATGATTCAGCAAGTAACCCAAACTGTGGATCCTTAGAAACCACATGTATGTTCAAAAGGATGCTGAGCTATCAGTGTCATATGTTCCACATGTCCAATATACACTTTTTCTAACAGTAATATCTAAAGCATTAATTAGAGTAAAACATTGAGTTGTTATTCTGAGAACACTAGAATTAATTGAAGGGCATCTGCCTCACCTAAGAAGTATTAGGTCCACCCGTGCACACTATTATTTGCGAGCTTTATGTAACACGTCCAACTAAGTATTTGCGAGCTTTATGTAACACGTCCAATTAAGTATTTGCGAGCTTTTTCAGAATATGTAACTATGTTAAATCATATCATGTTGTTATGCTCAGAATGATATGAGTAACAGTTGGGCACTTTATACACTCTACCCTCCCCAGACCCCACCTAGTGGGATTTCACTGGGTATGTTGTTGTTGTTGTTGTTGTTGTAATCTTTATCCACATATGCATTGATGTTCCAATCTATGATCCCTTAAACATTTTCTCTAAGTCGTGGAGTAAAGGTTGCTTTGATTTTGGACTGTATAGATGGATACATAGTTACGAGATGATAAAATTGGTTTCAAAACTTCGAATACTGTATAGGCTAGCAACAGCATTGATTAAATGTTAGACGAAGGAGATTCAAAACTTGCTTGCTGAGCTACGGGTTCGGGACTACATTAATTGAGCGTATGACATTTGGATATATAGATATGTGTGCGTAGTTGTTTTAGCTTTTTCTTCTTAGTTTGACTGGATTGATTTTTCAATATCATATTCTTTGGATTTGCTAGGAGTTGCACAGAAGACGCTTAAAAATAAAAGCAAAATCTAAGGTCAAGGATAAATCAAAAGGTATGTAGTTTGATTCTTCAGCACTTTGTTTATATTTTCAATGATTCTTTTCCTTTTTTTGTTTACATTTTCTATTGGAAGTGAATTTCTAGTTAACATTTTGATGAGGAGAGGTTACCAGGAACTCTTGTCTCCACTAAAAAGTATAATGGTGAAGATGTCAATGCTAAATGCAAGGAGATCACAGATGAAAACTCAATAGAAACAGCTAAAGATCCGAGAATTACTTTGTCAATAAGCAGTACAGCAGACCTTTCATCCTCTCAAGAAGACAACACACTGTCAAGAAAGCAGCAGAAGTTGCATTGGGGGTATGACCCTTCAAAGTGTTTGCAATCATTATATTTAGAACGAACCATTAGATTTTGTGTCCCCCCTCCGAAAAAATTAAAGAGTAGGCCCAAAGCACATTTAACAGTATGTTACCTTTAGTGTTGTATTTGGTTGGTTATGTTTCTTTCTTTCTGATATTTTGATTTTGTATACCGTATGTTCTTATGAATCGTGCTTTTTTCTACCTACTGTAGGCTCGACACCAAGGAGAGATGGGAAAGGAAATCCAATATGTAGAGATATCAGCATCTGAATATGGAATGCTGCTATCTTGCTAGACATCTCCAAGGAAGGCAGCGTCTTTGATCTACAAGTCATCATAATTAATCTATTATGAATTAAGATGATGTCTGACTAAATCATCTAAGCTTGTAAACCCAAGCTTAAGAGTGTGAAGATGTACATTGATTACCAGGTTTATGAGGAGATGGGAACTAAGCCTCAGCTAAGGGGTAGCTGCTAAATAACTTGATTCTTATAGGCTTGGCCCTTTTACTTGTAAATGCACTTGTTTCATTTGTGAAGTAATACTAATTTTTTTTCTTGCAAGAAGGAAAAAAGAACATGTAGTTTAGAAATTACAGCAAAGGAGACGAGTTTGTTAAATGTCATGGCTAAAAGCATATTATTTCTCCATCTGCATTTTTCTTTGTTTAACCAATGCTTTATTTGTTTGCATTTTGCACTTAAAACTTCAACGAACCTTTCACACTTTGATAACACTCCGAAGGGTTTAGGATTATCCTAAAGTTCCAGACAGTGGAACTGGCTTCGGGGATTTCTCAGTTATGAATAGGCTCACTTGCATATCATTTTAATTAATTGAAAATATTTATGAATGCTCAATCGTATTTATATATTTATTGATGATTTGGTGTTAACACCCAATGCAAATAAAATCTTTACCATCATTGCATTTTCTGATTTACGCTACGAAAATGATTACCAATTCATACGGGTAGATGGAAGTGATAAATACATGATTCACATATATTATCATCTTGCACACCTACGGTTCACCTGTAGTCCACAATGATTAAGAGCTGAAAAATGCTGCTGAAGATGGGTTCCTAAATACTCAATTATACGCGGATCATCTTCCATAACAGTTACATGTTTTTACAATGTTCCATGATTCATGATGCCGACGTACAAGAAAATCAAAGAGATATAGCTAAAGGGTAAGTGATACAACTCCAGTCTCGCAATAATAGGACTCCCAATGTGGAGAATCTCTTCAAAATCCAGACCCACTGGATGGCGGAAGCTGAAATTACTCTCAGCTGTTCATGTTGTACCACTCAAATTGCTGGACTTAACTCACGTTCAATCTCCTCCAGTGACCGCCCCTTTGTCTCCACGACGTTACCAGTTATATACACGACAGCAACAAGACAAGAGAGTGCAAATCCCATGTACACCGTACTGATACCAAATTTAGTTACAATGCTCAAGAAGTACAGGCCAATAAAGAAGTTCATTATCTGTTCAAGGAGAAATACGAGTTAGAAACAAAGTAAACATGGAGAGAATGAGCCTTCAATTAATCTTACAGAGCTGCAAATACCACCACAGTGAAGGGCAATAAATCAATTCCTACCTTTTCATAGTTATCTTTTTAAAGCTCATGCCGGGAACATAGTAGCAATCAAAAGCAAAAGATACTTCTCAAATAAAAGAAGTAAACAATAATACTCAAAATCAGAGAACCAAGGGACTATTGTCTCTGGTGCTTCAACAAAATGCATATTCCCCTAAGCACCCTGAAATGTCATGTTACCCAAGAGGCGTGGCATTGAGAAACATGCTCAAAAGACATTTGAGCATACTGTCAGCACACATTTCAGCTTATTGTGATATTAGGACTTTCGCATAAAATTTTGCTTCCAGTTAATCATGGAGCGCCATAAATGATGTAGTTATAACCTTTTATTTGCCCCCCCCCCCCCCCCCCCCCCGCAAAAAAAAAAAAAAGAAAAATAGACAGCAGCAAAAAGGGTACTAAGGTTTCCAAGCACTAACTCACCCAATGTACCCCCAAAGAGAGAGCCACCGCTTTTGCCCTAATTCTGGAAGCAAATATTTCTGGAAGTAGAAGAGCAGGCACAGGACCAGCACCAAGTGAAAAGGACAACACATAGCTGCAGAGAAAATCGTAGCAAGAAAATATATATATTTCATTCCATTTGTTACAAAAAAAAATCATTTGCATTGACAAAGGGGAAAAAGAAGCTGGCCTAAACAGAAGAAATCGCTTTGGTGGAAAAAAGGAAGTAACGATCCAACAGCAGGGAAGCACATGATACTTACAGGACAGTACCAAGAACAGCCAGTGTGCCAGAATATGGAGTCAGGACCTTCCAAGTGAATGACAAGGAAAGCAACATCATTGATGCAGCCTGTGAAAAGAGAATACGATGAGAATCAGAAAAAAAAATGGATAGAACAAGATAAAGCTAAAAATAGATTAAGTCGGAAACAAGCCAAAAATCAGGACAATAAACACAAAATGTTCCCTCAGGCCTCATCATACGCATGCCTGGGTTGCAGCTAAGGAACCATCTAAGCATTGACAACTGGATGCATAAGAGCATGAGTTCAACTGCCAAGGATAATTAGGATAAGATGGTAAAAGTCTCAGGCAAGCTATCCCAAAGAGCTCATGTTGGAATTCTCTCTGCTTGATGATTATAGTTGGGGAATATTTCAAAGACCTCCCTTCAAATTTACCTTTATACCACTAACTTCTCTTCTGGTTTGGATATTACACACACTCCCTAATTTGATTTTTTCATAACGAAACTTGTCTAAATGATAAAAGATTTTTAAATTTTTCCAGAAGTGCTCTTCTGTAATATTAATTATTGAATGGAATTTTTTTCCAAAAGTGCTCTTCAGAAAGTTTCACAAATTCTCAGAAAATCACTTTATTTGGAAAATTTTCACATATAAAGTGATCAACCTTTGTAATATTCATTTACACTAACCTTCAAGCAAAGTGATTTAGGTATTGCTCTAGGCAAGGATTTAGGTTTTCAATCTCTACTACGTAAATGATTTGCATCACATTATAACAGGGTATAGCATTGCTACTTGCTAGTGCTAGAGATAGAATTTCTTGAAGTACAAGGTCATTTAACAAGCATATATTTGCTTGTTTGTTTTCCCATGAATATTTTGCTGTTTTTTCATATGCATATACACGTGTTTGTGCATCCAAATGCCTACCAAAACCTTCAAATAGAATACATACATGTAATTAATCACCTAAAAGTGAAAATATCACATATTTCTCAAAGGATTAACCTCAGTTCAGTTGCAAGTTGTAATTTTTTTTTGACATAGTAAACTCCATCTAGGACTAAAAATGACTTACCATTCCAGTATAGCTTATGAGCAAGAGACTCTTCCTTCCTTGTTTATCCATCAAAGAGGATGCCACCGTTGTCCCTGGATGAATATGTACCCATTAGAAAAATATATTCTATAGCCACAGATGTTACCAAAAACCTTGAGGAGAAGACTAACCAAAAACGTTGGCTGCTCCAACCAGAGCACTGGCTGCTACATCAGATGTAATTCCAGCACTTCGGAACACGGCAGTGGAATAATAGACAACAGCATTTATCCCAGCTAACTGCTGCAACAAGAACATAGCTGCACCAATGCTAACAACTGCAATGACGACAACAATTAGACCATTTTGATTGTACAACATGGCACAGAAATATCAGGAGCTCAAACTATCACATATATTTGGAATGAGTGACCATAGACTGATAATAGCACATTAAGAACAAACTCAAGTGGAGAAATGTGTGCCCACAAGCAAAAATCAGACAGGCTTTTATTGTTTGTTGAACAAATTAAGTTGTAAGTAACAGTTCTCTTCCAAGCAGGAAAATTAAGAAGGTTACAAATTTATTTATTTATTTGAAATTGGTACTATTATAATCCTCAGCATTAAGGGTATGATATATGCTGGCCACCTCCAAAAAATTTTTACAGAAAGATATGGACTCTAGATTTACAACACCATAAAAATCTATAAGATCATCTACTTCCTCTATACAATTCTCTTTAAACCAAAAAATAGAGAAACTATGTAATTCCATTTCACAACATGAATGGACTTAATTTTATCTTCAAAGCATCTCCCATTATTCTACGTATTTGAACCAATAAAAGAAAAAAAAAATAATAACAAACAAAGTTGATTAAAAAGTAAAATGGATACACGTACCAGACTAAACCCTATGCTTTGGTGATTATCAAGGTTTTGGAACTTAAGCAAAATAATTGACATGTTTTTCTTTATTGCAGCAGAGCAGAACTACACACCACTATCCGAAATTCCTAATGATGGTGGCGCAGGATAACAGCCAAAGGCAGATGTTAACAATTTGACGTCAGGTACAGAAATTTAAATTTGTTCTTAAACAATATATAGGGAAGTGTTGGACCTAAGGATATAAGAACTGAGCTTCAGACGCTTATAAGACATGCATCATCAATATTATCTACAATACTGAATGATCAAAGATATACCTTTCCTATAACGGCTACTAAATAGATCAAGCCACCCAGCATCTGGTTCTGAAGAACCCTGGGCAGAAGCTTCCAAATCACCCATAACCTCAGCAACTTTTTCTTTACCATATAGCCTTTTAATAGATGTCTCAGCTTCAGAAATTCTCCCTTGCTGCAAGATAGAATTGGATAGTTTAAGACTAAAAGTCTCTGACATTGATTGTTGCTGTAGACAGGATATCCATAATGAAGATTTCAAACTAGAAAAGAAAGATCTCATGAGAAACCTGATAGAGCCACCGAGGACTTTCAGGAGAAAATACCATTCCTATTGCAAGTAAAACAGATGGAATAAGTGCGAGACCAAACATTGTTCTCCACCTGACATATGAAATGGAGACATGTAACTTGATGGATTTAAACCCAAAGATTTAAGCATTAACACGAAAACTGCAAAGGTTGGAAAAATCCATGCTCGTTAGAGTTTCTGAAGTCTGGCAACTACTAGTTGTAGGACCTTAATCATTTGTGAACAAGGTAGATGGAAAAGTATCATTTAGAAACGCCAATAAGACATAGTAGTCATTCAAATGGCAAATGAGAGATATGGAAGTAGAATATGCAATAAACCCAGAAACAAGCAAATAAGTAAATCAAATAACATTAACGGGTAATCCTGTGAGGGCCCACTTGCTCTGGCGTCAATTAGAAAAGTTAACAGTCAAGGTACACAACTTGATTTTAATTCTTCCCAATAGCATAAAA